TTCTATTGCCTGAGTGACCTCATTGTATGTACAATCATATATGTATAACTTGACCGATTCTTATTCCCTTGGCCGCAAGGCAACAAGTTTTTTGCTGTCTGTTACAATGTGTTTTTTTGAACCCTGGAAGGTGTAATAAAAAAGAAAAAAAACACAACGTATATTGAGGTTGAACAAGACCTAAATAAGGTAGATAACCTCAGAAATGACATTTGAAAGCAAAAACCTTTGAAGAACAATCACATGCTGATGCTCTTCCCCTTGTAAGAAGAAAATGGGAAACAAGAGGAAGAATGAATAAAATTGCGCACGGTCACAGGCAGCCACCACCTCTTTAGTCTTTAATAGGAATCGAATGGAGTGACGTAGTAAATACGAGCAATAAATGGCTGGAGCACGCGGTACATTTCAATGTATGCATGCTAGACAAACCCTACTAAGGTAATAGGAGCACACTCTAGACAAACCTTACGATAAAAATTTCTTCATAATTAGGCCTATGTCTCTAGTCACTTCTCTAAATCTCTCTACCCTTGTTTCCTCGAACCAAGGCTCACAACCTTCTTCGTTCACATCTTTTTCATATCAAGTTTAAAATCTTCAATTGTATTTTTTTTCAATTTGAGGCCTAAACCTCACCAAAAAAAAAAAAATCATATCAAAGCTTAAAACCTTCCATCGTATTTATACCAAGGCTTCAAATCTTCAATTGCATTTCTTCAAATCAAGGTTTAAACTCTCGATTATGTCAGTCCAAAACTAAAGTTGTTGGGTGAAAATAAATTAATGATTTTATATTATATTTTTAAGGATAATTTATATAGGGATGCACAAAATAACCTAATCAAACTGAATTACATTTTGAATCAGTTTTGAGAATCGAATTGGTTTTATAAACCAATTTAAAAATAAACTGAACCAAAAGAATGTGTTTGGAAAGCCGATTTGGAAGCGGTTCGAGACTAACTTTCATACATGAATTGGATCTAAACAATTCTTGTAGACTTGGTTCAGCAAGTTGAAACAATGAATGATGTTAAACCTAGACTGGACCGGCCGATCTAACCAGTAACTAGACCCCAACTGGTTCGGTTTGGTCATTCGATTAGGTATGCAATCAAATAGGTATGAAACCAATAAATTGATTGAAAATCAAGTCGAACCAGCATTAAACTAATACCCGACACTTTGGGATGGGTCGATGTAAGCTCAACAACTACACCAATGCAACTTTTTCTCTCAATGTACAACTATTATTATATTTATTATATATTAATATATAAATTCAGTCAAATCGATTTAACTTGACTGGGTCGACCACCGGTCTGAATTTAATAACATTGGTAACAATTCTCTTCCCCTTAAAATTACTCTTGTACCCGAGTATTATAGAACCCATTCAATCCCGTTCCTATTACTTCTATTTTCCCCTATCAGCGGCTCTTCTTCCAATTTCATATCTACTTCTTTGTCGTTACCCTCCATAACTACCTGAATTTGGAACAACTCCTTATAGTGGTGGCTTGTTTCACAAGTGGCATTGCATTGAAAGCTAAGCCCTTTCATTAACGTTCCAATATTTCATCAAAGGATAGTCATTTGACTAATGGATTTTGACTCTGTGTTCGGTTATTAATTATGGAAGGGATGAGACTTGTAATATTAGGAAATACATGGTCATTTTGGGCCTCACACAATTTGGCAAACCCAATAGCATAAGAAAGAGAAGTAGGCCAATTTGCTTGCACATCAGCCCGAAGTGTCTCAGGAAGCCACTTATGAAGTAACTTACCTGCCTCGACATCTCCAATTGTTTCACCTTGGAGAGCAACCTCTCAAATTGTCTTTGTTATTCCTGCATGATACCGTCTTGTTCCAACTTGCTCAATTTCCAAAATAAATAAACAAATTGATTGTTGTTGTAGCCACTGTTGTTAAAAACAAGTGTAGAAATGTAAAAAACTAGAATCGTTAAAAATCGAGTGCAAAAATGGGTAAAAACGCCACGTAAAAATGATAGAAACGCAAGTTTTTACTTAAACCCAAACATTGAACCAGGATAACTTTTAACCCATGACCCAATTTTTTTTTAAAAAAAAAATCATATTTCCTATTTTCCCAAATCAGAATGTGCAACGACTTCGACTATTTTCTTCTAGCTATCTAACTCAAATCAAAGTCTTCAGTGATCTCATGTCCACCACAACTCTTGGTGCCGCATGTCTCCTACCCCTTACGGCGTTGCAGCTACCAAACCCTTATAATCAGCAACAACGATAATGATAAGTGTGTGTCTCTGCTATTTTGCTCATTTTCTGTTTTGGAACTTGGTTGTAGGAGTTGTAAACTTTGTGTTTTGGACTTGTGTCTTATATAATTATATGACTTATGTTTTTCAAATATGTAGTTGTTCATGGAATTTTGAGTAGTGAGTTATGTGATTTTCTTTTACATGTATATATATATATATATATATATATATATATATATATATATATATATATATAATTTTGTATCTTGTTCTTAGGTAGTAGAAACTTATGTTTCGAACTTATGTTTCGTGTCGTTTCTATGATTTATGTTTTTGCCATCCCCATATGTTTCTACGTAGAAACTTGATTTTGACAAAATTGGTTGAAGCGCTGCAATATTTCATCATAAAACTCGAACCAAGTGATAGTTGGATGGTCTTGGATGAGTAATTGATACCATAATGAAGCATCCCCAGTGAGATGGAAAGATATTAATGAAAATCTTTCTTCTTCCGGGGAGCGATGATACTGAAAAAATTGCTCAGCCCAACATAGTGAACTTGTTGGGTCTTCATTGTCATCAAATTGTGAAAAATCCAACTTCACCACCTTAGGAATGTATGTTTTGTGAAAAATCCAATTGCTCTAATGCATTGTAAGAGCAGTTTGGTTCATTTTTCATACTACTTCCAAAATGATCATTTTTCTAGCGCGTTGATGTGATGGTCATAACATCCAACCTATTGGAAAGTTGAGCAAACATATCCTTAAATAGCTCTGACAATGACTGAACTGCATTTTTCAATCCCTTAACACATTTGTCCATATTTGTGCTTTGATGCCAAACTGATACATACAAGAGCTTTTTTTTTCTATCTCGGCATAAAATAAGAAATAGAAGTGTAGCTTTATTAAGGAAGCTTGACCTTTTGCACACAATGTTTTCCAAATAATTTCTTTTGATGATTTTTATTTAAATACTTCAAGGTTTAAATAGATAATACAAGTCAACCGTAAAAATAGTTACAAACAATTGCCCAGTAACACTAAATAAATAGGCTCTACTAATAACCATGACATATCCTTTAACAAAGTTGAAATTCAAATAACAAGATTAACAAATAACTACCCACTAATTGAAATAACAGCAATAATATTCTAATAGAATTGGTCAAAGTGGTTGTAACAGAATCCTAGTAAAGGTCGAACTCTTGACCACTAATATTTTATCAAATAATTAATTCAACTTAAAAAATTAAGTTGTTAAATGAAGACAAATGAATAATTTTCGGGATTAATGTTATTTTGTTACAAAAGTTAAATTTATTTTCTATAACTCTGAAACTATATCTTTTTGAATTTAAGTTAAAAAATAAAAGCTATTTTAGTAAAACTCATGATACAAGAGGAAAATAAAATTTTTAAAATATTTTTTATTTTTAATCCTAAATGTTAGAATAACGTCATTCTCTTGGAGAAGAAACAGTTTCCCCACAATTTTATATATATTTCTTATAGCATGTTTTTTTATAGATAACTTAATACAAACTACCCAAATCTCTACCAATCTTAATTGTTTTTTTATAATGTGTGTTTTTTTTTAGTAAAGGCTCAAACTATTTTTTCTGTCTACCTATTCAAACCAAAGCTCAAAATACTTTACTACTTAAACCATTAGTTCTGGTTTAATGGTGTGGGATGTGAGTAATTTATATTAAGTTATATGTTGAATTTCTACCATTGTATATATTAAAAAAAAGTTATTACTTTTCTTTGGATTGAGACTTAATATAATGGTTATTTTTTATAATCAAAGCTTAAAACCTTCCGTCGTACTTATGTCTCTCAACTGTTAAAATTGAAATTTTACCTAAAATCAGAAAAAGATAAAAAATTATAAAACGTACCATCATAACATAAAAAAATCATAAAAGCATTTAAATTTTTGATAAAAATCATTTTAATTAAAAAAAATCATAAAAACATAAAAAAAACATTTAAATGAAGATTTTAATTAGTATGCTCTCGACCAAGCCAGTGCTTAAAGTTAAAATATTTGAGCATATTTCTTTAAATAGAAGAGATATTCTCACTATCAAATTTTTTTACTACCAACTTACTACTTATTTAATCACCATTGGATTAACATTTTTTCTTTTTTCAATTTTTTTTTTGCTTTTTTCTTTCTTTAATACGATGACGATTAGATAAATAATAAGTTAATAGTAAAAAATTTTAAGGGTGAGAATATGCTCCTCTTCTTTAAAACTGATGCTTAAAACCTCCGATAACAGCCGCATTTCTTTCAAAGCGGGGCTTAAACCAAGGTGTCGTCTGTCTACGTCTTTGGTTGTATGAATCTCCCCAAATTCGAATATTGTCAAAGCAAAACTCCGAACGTGCTCGTGCTCGTGCTCCTTTGAAGAAGACACACTTCGTATAATAACCATGTCAATGGAACTCTGCCTTTTGTGTGTTTTTCTCTACACACCCTTCACTCTTAAGCACCTATTTCTTAAGGAACAAGTAATATTATTCACTGTTATCATGTGTTTTGGAAATCTGTTAAATGCACACACCCATTACTGCTCTGAAGGCAAAGCTTGGAAATTTTTCAGTTCTGCTCTTGACCCTTTACTTGAATCTATCTACGTGAGTTCTGGGTTTTTAATTTTTTTATGTTTGATATCTTCCATGACCTAAAGAGATCATTTTTGAGTAATTTGCCTTGACTATTTGTTGGAATTTGAATGTAAGTAGACCAAAGAATCGAAAAAACCTTGGAAGTTGCTCTCACAATGGAAATGGATACCTATAGCCAGCAACATAATATTGCTCCTGACACTCTTCCATTTGCAAGGAGGTGAGTTTTATATGCAGAAATTAACCCTTCTAGTGTTAAGTGCATGCATTGTTGTGTGAGTTCTGTTGTTCTTTCTCATTGATGTTGGGTTGGTTTTTTAATGTAGCTATCAACTTGAAGCCTTGGAAAAAGCAATCCGTGAAAATACCATAGTGTACTTGGAGACTGGTTCAGGGAAGACTTTGATAGCCATCATGCTTCTTCGCAGCTATGCTTATCATCTGCGAAAGCCTTCTCATTTCATTGCAGTGTTCTTGGTTCCTAAAGTTGTCTTGGTCAAACAAGTAAGCAACTTCCTCTCTTTATGCCTTTGCAAATTTGAGATATTATTTAATTGCAATGCGTTGATTGTCAAATCATGTAAATCAATACTTTCACTGTGCTTTTCTTTTATGTCTTTTTTCTCCTTGTTATTCACTTGGAAATTTTAGCAAGCTGAAGCCTTGAAAATGCACACTGATTTAAAAGTGGGAATGTATTGGGGAGGGATGAGATTTGACTACTGGAATGCTGATATGTGGAAACAACAAACAGAGAAACACGAGGTGAGAGTTTTTTGCATTTCTTTCTGAAATAAAAGATGCCCTTGTTTATTATAAGAATCTGCTTTGAATAATCATAATATATCTGTTTGTGTTGTGTGCGACATATTCCCGTTTTTCCCAGTTGGGTGTTTGATGTTTTCAGTTTCTAAACTTTATAGTTTGTATTATATTTAATCCCTCTTGGCATCCCACACCCCCTTCCAAAAGAACAAAAACTAAACCATTTTATTCATTGATTTTGTTGATGGCCAAAAAGTCTATCGATATTACACAAGCACATAACAAATATTGGTTTAGTTGAAAATGCCTAAGAAAAAAATTGAAAAAAACTCAGAACAACATTGGTTGCTTCCAAAGGAAGAGATGAGGGGAAAATCTCTTTCTTACCTCTATTCTGTATCACCTTCTTCTGATTGTTCCTTTTGAAATTTATAGCTTGCATGCTATCTTGTAGTTGTTGTCTAATTTTGGCATTTCCTCTTTATTTGCAATGTCTGTACTGAGTTAAAGATTCTAGTCTAGACTGTTTCTAGCTTCAATCTTTATGTTCAAATAAGATGGAAAAGAAGACAATCACTTTCTGTTTTCTAATATTCAGTTGACCTGAATGTGACATGCATCATTTATAACTTTTAGCACGATGCTTCTGAAATTTATCTTTATATGCTGTGTCAATAACACGTACTTACTGTCAGTAATGCTTTTGAATGTATAGGTGCTTGTCATGACTCCCACGATATTGCTTAATAGCTTGAGACATGGCTTTCTCGAACTGAAAATGATAAAGGTTTTAATAATGGACGAATGCCATCATGCTAGGGGTAGAGACGCTTACGCTTGCATCATGACTGTAAGTGTTACACCCTCTCTATGGTTTTCATTAAACTGGTTTGTGTCTTTGAATTTCTTACTAATTCTTTTTATGATAATATATTTGAGTTGTGATATGTTCTTCATTTATATGCTGTAATTTCCCTTCCAAGTTATTGACCTTAAAGATTCTGTTTCTGTTTTTTTTTTTTGGTTAATACAATGAGATCCAGGCTAGTTTAAATACAGGGTGGGGTGCCATGTGAGCTGCTACTCATTAGTAACGTAAAATGTTTTGCTTCTTGTAAGAAGTTTGTAAGGAGGCCATCCATATATGGGTTTGCTACAGATGAACAAAAAACAGTTCTTGGAAGAAGCTTGTTACAGTCCTGTATGCAGTATGCACTTATCTTCAGAAACAACTAATGAAAAAGACTTTTAGGTCCACTCGTAGTCTTGGTCACAATACGCTATCATATAGAAGGCAGTCAACTTATGGTGACAATAATTGGTCTGGAATTTAAACTAGAGGACTTGATGTTGACCATGGATTACATAAATGTAACAAGGTGGTATGTAGTATTGATGCATGCCTTGTGAAAATTTGCTGTACCATTGATCATCTTGCTTCATTGAACGGGATTATAATTTTAATTGGTGATATTGTTCAATAGGACCATGCTTTTTCTAATTTTGTTTTGTTTTTTAAGAGCTGTAACTGCTTTTGTTTGAGGACAATTATAATCATGTACTGTAAGCTGCAGTTCCTCTTTATGCATCATCTGCATCGTGAAGTTTTTGTGCTGTGCAAGTAGTTGTTACTTTTGTAAGATTTGATTGCATGCAGGAGTTTTATCATCCCCAATTAAAACGTGGTATCTCTGACCTCCCTCGAATTTTAGGGATGACTGCAGCTCCAGTTAAGTCAAAAGGTACACAACCCTAGAGAAAGTATCTATTTATCTCTTTGCATTGCTATCTTTTTTCCTATTCTTGTAGTGCTGTCACTTATTCTCTGATGTTGAATTTCCTTTTTCTTCTGTTTTATTTTTTGATCCAGTTGGAAATTCTGAATGGACCTTATCAAAAAATATTCAGAAACTAACGACTCTAATGCATTCAAAGGTTGCTTTTTATTTTCTGCCTAGCTTTTCTTGCTCTCTTCTTTCTAACATGTTATTTTGTTATGTGGCAATATATTATCTCCTTATCTTCTTGGTATAATTGTATATACTTTGGTTTATTAAAGTTTATCATACATATTTATTACAGAGACTATTGATAGGTCCTAAGCTATGAATGTTAACATGCCTAGAGGTATTGGAATCTATACCTACGCTAGAAATTTGTTATTTGACAGTGCGATTAGAATAATTTATTCTTATGTGGCTAATACTCTTTTGTGTTGTAGGGCAATTTAGTATTACCATTTGGTCTTGTAAAGTATTATTTGTTTGACATAATGTTTTGAATTGAAGGTATATACATGTGTAAGTGAAGCTGTCATCGCGGAGTTCATAACAATCTCAACCCCGAAATTCAAGTTTTATAAGGAAAATGGAATCCAATTTATATTATTTGAAGAAATAGCAGTTAAACTCAAGATGTTAAAACAGCAGGTGTGTACATTTAAAGAGATCAACTTTTTATGTATGATCTGAAACAATCAAGAAAAAGATAAAATCCCCATGTATTTTATTTGTCAGAATCACTTCTTCTTTTTCTGTTAGTGCCACTCTAGAAGTTCTGCATTTTTTGATCAGATCATAGTTGATTATTTCCTTGAGGCATTTGACAATGGATATTCTGTTCCTCAGCATGAACTCTCTCTCGGAAGTTCAAATTTCACCAAATCAGCTGCTGAGTTTGCACACAGAAGAATAACAAAGATTTTTTCTGGTTTAATGTTTTGCTTGGATGAGCTTGGTATTTGGATGGCTTTGAAGGTTCTTTCCCTTCTACTGCAGTGATTTTATGGCTTAGATGTATGTTCATGGTTGCATAATTGACATCAATTGTTTGTTTTTATGACAGGCTGCAGAGTCCTTACCTTCGAATGAAATTGAATCACTTTCATGGGGTAAATTGGGGGATAAGGTTGTTAAAAAATTTAGCTGGGATACTGTGCTGACACTGACAACTTACTTGCCATCTGGTAAAGACTCTACAACTATTGAGAGAATAGGTGAAATTTTATATATAAATCTTTTTTACTAACATTCTGTAATTAATTTTTAAAAAAACGTTTTCGTACTCAGATCCTCAATGGTCTATTGGTGACAACAGTAAATCCGATGTGGATATGGGGCTGTTAACCTCCAAAGTTTACTGTCTTATTGACTCTCTACTTGAGTACAGGTTATCATCATGGAAAGGTTTCTTTTAAAGTATTTCAAATGATGTTTTGAAATCATGTATGTGGATTAAGCTGTTTAAATTTCTTGTTGGCTGTCTGAATACCTTTGCTGTTGGTCATTTAATGTTAATTCTCATCTTTCTCTTTTATTGATCTATACTATTTATTTCTCACCTGTTATTAGGGGTGTTCATAGGTTAAGTTTAACTCATCTCACAGCCCAATATTTGATAGGGCTAATCTTGTGAACCCTAACCCATCCCCTTCTTTTCCCAATTAATGACAGCCCCCTGACTGGGTCATCTCAACAAATTAAGACATTATGCATAGCTAATTTTAAAGGTTGGGAATTAAAACTAATGGATCTTTTACAATATGTATTTTATTACATGATATCAAATATGAATATATATTAAAATGTTATGCAAAAGATATTAATTTAAGTCAAGAAATTTTATTATTTATCACTAATTGTCAAAATAATTATGTTTTAAAATGTGTGACACCTTGGGACAACTTGAAGCTTGACCCAAACCTGACCTGAAAATACATTGGGTCTAATTTCTAGAACATGAACCTGTCACAATTAGCTTTGTGCCAGTATGAGTTATCAGGACTGGATGGTTCTTGATCACCCGTACCTTTTATGTATGCATTCACAATTTTCTTGCATTCTGACTTAATATGTAAAACTCCAATGGTTTTGGTCTTTTTTGTACTCACAGGATAAAACTTGTTTCAACTAATTTGATCAATATTTTATATATGTTTTGACTGTATGTATTGATTTTGTGATCTTGTTATGATTATTATTATATCTGTTTTGATGGATCTACCATGTATACCACAATTACAGGGGTTTGACTGATATGAGATGCATAGTTTTTGTGGAAAGGGTAATTACAGCCATAGTCCTTCAGGCACTATTGAATGCCTTGATTCCAAAATACAATAGCTGGAAGACTAAATTCATTGCAGGAAACAATTTTGGATTGCAAAATCAATCAAGGAAAAAGCAAAATGAAATTGTGAAAGAATTTCGTATGGGATTGGTATGTTGCTTTTTTAAATAATCCTCTGTATTGTAATAATCAAATACAATTTCTTATTAAGGAATTATTTTGATATGAAGGTCAACATCATTGTTGCAACATCGATTCTTGAAGAGGGTTTAGATGTTCAAAATTGCAATGTGGTTATTAGATTTGACTCACCTCCCACAGTTTGCAGTTTCATACAGTCCCGAGGCCATGCCAGAATGCAAAATTCAGATTACATACTAATGGTTAAGTGGTAATTCTCTTTGTATATTTCTCTTCTCGGTATTAAGATTAGTCTAGCAATTAGACAAGTTCTAATTAGTATGCTGCGGAGAGACAAAATTACAGCATCAAAATTATGTGTTTTACTAGTTGAAATATATTTTCCCCAAACAACTTCCTTATTTTGTTCCCAAATAACAGTGGGGATTCAGTTAAACATTCTCGGCTAGAGAAATACCTTGCTAGTGGGGATATTATGAGGAAGGAGTCATTGCGTCATTCTTCCTTTCCATCCAATCCTTTTGAAAGTGATCAATTTCATGAGGAAGCTTATCGTGTTACAAGCACCGGAGCCATTGTCAATCTTAGTTCTAGCATCGGTTTGATATATTTGTATTGTTCACGGCTCCCTGCAGATGGGTTAGTTAGTTCATTGCTGCTCTTATTGCATGTTAAATTTTTTTCCTTCATTTTAATGTACCTTAGTTATGCTTTCTTGATCTAGTACGTTTTGCATAAATCCGGCTCTTTTGGTTTTTAATCCTGTTCTCCATTATTTATTCCATTCGGATTAAACTCTCAGGTACTTTAAACCAACTCCAAGGTGGGACAAAGAGACTGGAACATTGTATCTTCCCAAGAGCTGCCCTCTACATCCTATTCATGTACAAGGTGACCAAAAAGTCTTAAAGAATATTGCATGCCTTGAAGCATGCAAACAACTTCATAAGATTGGAGCTTTGACAGATAATCTTGTTCCTGATATTGTCGTAGAAGAGGCAGAGGTGGAGGAATTTGGTAACTTCATGCCTTCTATTCATTTCTCCTTCTGTTACTGCCTTTCATTCTAAACATTATTACCTGAAAATAAATTTCTGTTTATCTATGTAATTCTTTTATGTCTTAAACATTAATCTGGTTCTTACAGGGAATGAACCTTACAATGAGGAGCAACCAAGTTATGTACCCTTTGAATTGGTGAATTGCTTCACAAACAATTGCAACACAATCTACTATGGTTATTTAATGGAATTAAAAGAAGATGTTTGCCATCATACCTCTGTTCAAGACATTCTTCTTGCAGTGAGAATTGAGCTTGATCCAGAAATTGGATGCATGCAATTTGGCATGTGTTTTGACAGAGGTAGCTTGTCAGTAAACTTGAGATACAAAGGAATCATTAATCTTTCCCCAGATCAGGTCTGCTGTCTACTCCTTTAATTGTATGTGGCATATTTGCAAGTGCTAGGTAAAGTCAATGCAGTAATTGCTTGTTTCTTTTTGTTTTCCAGGTTCTTTTGTGCAAAAGATTTCAGGTTACTATCCTCAGAATTCTTGCAGATCGTAAGTTGGCAACTGCTTTAGAGAAACACATTTTTGAAGATGATCTTGAGATTGATTATCTTCTACTTCCAGCTACTGCTATAGAGCAAAAACCAGATGTTGATTGGTTATGTATTAATTCTGTAAATCCATCTAACATTAAGTGTGAGGATCATGCACCCAATATATGGGCCAAAAATGGTCTAGTTTGCACTTGCATGCTGAAAAATGCTTTGGTTTGTACTCCTCATAATGGTAATATTTATATCACCACTGGTATAATGGAATTGGATGGAAACTCGCCCCTGGAAGTAAGGGATGGTGAAGTTACTACATACAAGAAGCACTTTGAACGGGAGTACGTGATTGTTTATGGTTGATGTTTTTTCTCAGGCTAATTTATCTACTTGGGCGCGTTATTCTCATTTATCTTTTTCCAAATTTTAGGCATGGCATTCAATTGCATTTTGAACACCAACTGCTACTTAAAGCAAGAGACATTTTTCAAGTTAAAAATCACAGTCTCGGGTGCAGACAAGAGAAGGACAGAGGTTTACCCTTTAATTTTTCAATTTTGTTTCTTCTGTTGTTTAATCTTGGTGATAGGTGGAATCCTAAGAGGTTAATTGTGCTCATCAATCTTAAAATTAGGATTTCCTATAACCAATATTACTATGAATTGGACTTTTCTGAATGTATTCCTGCTACTGAATGCCCTGTGACTATATTATTGAAAGGAGGTTCGTTAGTGTGCTTATTTCTTCTGAACTGTTTTTTGGGATTGGAACTATTCAAATGACTTCTGCCCCTCCTTGGGTGAGTCACAGAACTTTGGTTTTCTCAGTTGTACAAATATGTATCAGCTTGCTTGTTAACGAGTGCAAAAGGTATAATCTTATTATGAATAGTATCTGTATTAGGTGTGACTGCTCCTATCTACTAGAGTCTTGTTAGCAGTTTCATGATGCCTAAATTTATTCTTTTTCAAATTATAGTTGTATCATGTACCAAAAAAGTAGCAGATATATTTAGAGTTATTTGTCTTCAAGCTCTACCAATATGTGATCCAATTTGAATCCAAACTTTATGTTTTACATTTTCAGAAGCAAGCAAGATCTTTGCTGAATTACCTCCTGAAATATGCTCTGTCATCCTTTCACCAATATCAGATAGTACCATTTATTCCTTTTCGTTTATTCCGTCAATAATGCATAGAATTGAGTCATTGCTGGGAGCTTCCAACTTCAAAAAGATGCATTTGGATCATTGTAGATGGAATGAGATTCCAACAACCAAGGTAGGGTGCTATTGTAATTCTGCAAAATCGCTTACCATTATGATCTAGACAAGTTTATATTTTCAAGGTTTTTTTTTTATTATTTTTTTTAGAATATAAAATTTTATATCTTTTTGTTAATTGACCTAATAGCCAAAAAAAGGTGTAGAAAAAACAGATTGTTTATTTTGTGTTTTTCCATAAATTTTAATTAAAATGTAATTACTTCTGAAAGAAAAATTGAGGTAGAAAGCAGGGCACTCTAGATAATGAGGGAAAAGAATTTCTTCTGCCCTCCTTTTACCCTCCATTATATCAGGCCTCAGCCGATAAACAAATGAAGAGATTGAGAAGAAACTTTTCAGTTTGGAACTTTCTAGGCTACCATCTTTTGGTTAAATTTGTCTTGGTGTTCTCTGAATGTATGGATTTTAATGATATTTGCACATATGGTATCTGCATTTTGCATTGTAGGTCTTGGAAGCAATTACTACAAAGAGATGCGAAGAGACCTTTCATTATGAGTCTCTACAAACTCTTGGAGATTCATTTTTAAAATATGCTACCGGTCAACAACTTTTTCAAACATATCAGAATCACCAAGAAGGTCTCCTTACTGTAAAGAGGGAAAAGATCACTTCTAATGCTGCCCTCTGTAAGTTTGGGTGCAGTTGCAGACTTCCGGTATTCTCTCTCTCTTTTTTATGCTATTGTTAATTTTTTTTTTTATAACAATTGTTGTTAATTTTTTATGCTCTACATCTATTATGATGCTGTCTTTTAGCATTTTTTATACGTACGCCACAATTTCATAAGATGTTTTATCTGTATTTTGGTTTAGAAGTACTATTTCTTCACATATATGGCTGATTTCTCAATCTGTAGCATTCTTCTTTTAAGTGGTATATAAGAAGAATATGATTTCTGATATAATGATTCAATCAATTTTGTAATTAGTTGATCCTGTTTTTCAAAATTTGAGAAAAGAATATAATTTTGAATCAATCGACTGATTCAACTGTTTAGCTGTTATCATATTTGAACAAGTTTTGTAATTTATTTGCTAGTTGAGCAGCGAAGATCAAATTGAAAAGTTTACACTATTTACCATGAGTAATGTGTTCTCTAAATTGTAATACTTATGCTATGAGGATTGGATTGTATTGCTTAGATATTATGTGACCCATTTTCAGCTGAATTACTGTGTTTTTAGAACTCTGCATTATTGTTTTGAACTGTACTTGATTTCAATTTGCTGATAGTGTTTTAATTATTTTTATTGAACCACTATTCTTTTGAGTTGCAGGGCTTCATACGAAATGCGCCTTTTAATCCTAAAACTTGGACCATTCCTGGTGATAAATCTGGAAGTTTAAAATTAGAAGAGTTGGCTTCCAAAGAGAGAAAAATATATGTTGGCGGAAAAAGAAAATTAAAACGGAAGATTGTTGCTGATATTGTTGGGGCACTAATTGGTGCTTTCCTTAGCACTGGTGGTGAAAAAGCTGCATTGTTGTTTATGGATTGGATTGGTATTAAAGTGAGTTTTAATATTATACCTACTGAGAGGAACTTTAATGTTAATCCAGAGAATCTGATAAATGTCAGCTTTCTAGAATCTCTATTAAAGTACTCATTCCGTGACGGTTCTCTTTTAGTGGAAGCTCTGACCCATGGTTCTTACATGCTGCCTGAAGTTCCTAGATGTTATCAGGTACTTACTGTTGTTATTATTTATCATATGGAAACAAGACATTAGCATGTATGTATCTATGAAAGGCAGAACTTTTTGTGACTTGTATTGACTAGTCTATCTTTTTTCAAGTCTTGATGGAACCCTTAAAATAGTACTTGTACTCATTCTTCTTCATGATCAATTAATGATGTTTTCCTCATATTTATGTTATTTGTGTTTCTCTTTTATCACAATTTGTGAATGATAAACTCCTTGCGCCACAGCGACTAGAATTTCTTGGAGATTCAGTATTGGATTATCTCATTACTATGCATATGTACGATAAATATCCTGGCTTGTCATCCGAGCAGTTAACTGACATGAGGGCAGCTTCTGTAAATAATGATTGTTATGCACGGTCTGCCCTTAAGGCTGGGTTGCAAAGACACATACTCCATGCCTCACTGGAACTACATAAGCATATTACTGCCACACTTAATGCTTTTGAAAAGTTATCTTCATCATCAACTTTCGGATGGGAGTTAGAGGCACCATTCCCCAAGGTTAGTTGTTGCAATTCGGTTGATAGGTTCATTTGGTTATCGTCAGAGTCTTGAGATAATGTTAATATATATTATTACTGTCTTCCATGTGGGAAAAAGCTCTTCTAAAGTGAGATTGTCTATATAAAGTGTAAAGTAAGGATGTAATCACTCTTAAATTTTAATAGATTAAGATCATGATGTTCTTTAAATTAAATCATGGGAGGATTTACTCTTATTTTGACACTTAAGAGACAAGTTCACTTTAAGGGAACTTTATCCTTGAGTATGCATAGCTAAATATCTCATTATTGTAGTGCATATAAACCTTTAGAGCAAACACCGCCTTTAAGCGATGGGAGGGAGCACAATCAGCATTTCTGATTTTTTTTTCAGTTTGAGCAATGCTATTTTATATGGGAAAGGTTATATTTACAAATTTTTTGTTTACAAACTACACTAAATATGACTGGTCATACTTCAATCAAGAGTGTATGACCGGTCATACTTAGTGTAATTTGTAAAAAAAGTTTGTAAGCGGATCATTCCTCATTTTATATTAGACTTCTCTAACAATAATACGTGCTAGTGCAACCTGAGTGGACTGGTATTTTTTATTATCAAAACTTATGCTTCTCCACTATCAAAGAACCTTGCAAACTTTATTCTTCGGTGGTCATTAAACAATGTGCAACTGCTTTGTCCCCGCTTTGGTCATTAGTTCTTTGACAGAATTTAAAGGTGTAATATGATTGTCAACTACAACTATAAACTGTTACAAGTCTCATGAGATTGTTCCTATTGTTGAAAGGTACTTGGAGACATTATAGAGTCTCTGGCTGGAGCAATTCTTGTTGATTCAGGATACAATAAGGAGGTTGTGTGGCAAAGCATAAGGCCTCTTTTGGAACCCCTTGTCACACCTTCAACATTGAAGGCGCACCCCGTGAAAGAGTTAACCGAAATTTGCCAAAAGAGAAATTATATTATGGAAAAACCTAAGGTGTCTTGCAGTGGTGGTGTTACAAATTATAGAATCGAGGTACAAGCTAATGGGGTCTTACACCAGTATGAGTATATTGGTTCTGCTGATAAGAAAACAGCCAAGAAGATAGCATGCATGGAAATTTTGAAGTCCTTGCAATAAACACATAGCCACTGATGTACGTGCCTTGTGTATATTTGAATCATTTGTTGGGAATTGTAAATGAGGCCTTATGAATAACTATATATAAATAGTATGCAAATATCATTATTTTCGTGAGCAGCTTTTGGGAACTAATGTGATTCTTAGTTACGCAAAGTGAGTGATCCCAGAAAAAGAGATGAAATATCTGTTATGACAAGGGAAAACATTAAAAAAAAAATTGTTTTAATATATATGTTTGCATGAGTTTCTTTGTAAGAGGATGAAAATGAAAAATAACTAATTTTCATTATGAATGTTAACAAAGTTAGTAATTTAATTTGTAAATCAAATAGGAGCATTTTCTCATTAAACCTGGGAAAGCAAATCGGAAGCTACAGGGGAAGGAATTGCATGCTTGTCTGAAATGACCAAAACTTCAAATGGATCGGTTGGCATGTCAATTGAAACCCTGGCTTCACTGTTATGCTATTACAAGTCCCACATTGATTGTTTATACAACTAATGTGGCATTTATAAGGTCTTGAACACTCTCACCCTTTAAGTTAGCTTTTGAGTTGGTGATTTCAAGATTCGGCTGGATTAAGGTGTCTTTGGGTATTGAATACCCTTTAAGTTAGTTTTTGAGTTGGTGATCTCAAGATTCGGCTGGATTAAGGTGTCTTTGGGTATTGAATACTGACAGGTGAGTGAAGTGTCTTTGGGTATTGAATACTGACAGGTGAGTGAAGCCGGTCCAAAGGAGAAAAGGGCTTTGTAATTCAAATTATCGAATACAATAGTTGATACACATTCACAAATTTAATGTAAAAATAAATAAGCTTAGTTGTGGTATCATTTTTGCATCCATGACATGTTGGTTTACAGGGCAAAAAATCTTCCCAACAGCTAAAAGTTTCATCATAAATTCACGATTAAAAAATTATGGAAAAATATATGAACTGTAAAGTATATATATTTTTTGTTAGATAAGAAAATGTTAAATCTTAGATACTGCTCTGTCGCCATATTACATTATCTATTTAATATTTAATTTACAACTTCAAAATGAGAAAATTCTTGACATAACACCTTGGTTACCATGTTTTCATTAGGTAATAAAATTTGTGTTACCATTAACCACGGATTAAAGCACCTTAAGACTTTCATAACTTATCTGTTAGAGAAGTATATAAATTATTGATGGCCTTCACTTAAGAGCTTAAGCTTTTGGGTTGAATCAGTTCTTTATACGGTATCAGAGCTTTCTTGACCACAAAGTCACGAGTTCGATCCTTACCGCACCCCACTTTTTAGTGGAATTAAAATAAGCACAAAGTAAAACAAAAAATTGGATCAGTGTAATATCCACACTTCAGGTCACGAGTTCGATCCTTACCGCACCCCACTTTTTAGTGGAATTAAAATAAGCACAAGGTAAAATAAAAAATTGGGTCTGTGTAATATCCACGCTTCAAGTCCAAACGGCTCTTGTGTGAGGAAATGTGTTAGAGAATAATATAAACATTACAAAAAAGGCCCTCACCCAACACCTTAGGCTTTGTTTGGGAGTTTAGAGGGGAAGGACAGGAAAGGGATGCAAGGGGGAGGGAGAGGAAGGAAGGGAAGGAAATTGAAGAGTATTCTCTTCCCTTGTTTGAAAGTTAAAAAAATGGTAAGGGAGAAAAATAGAGGGTTAATCAGATATTTTTACCATTTTACCTCATTTTTAAAATAAATATAATAATTATATTTTACAAATTAAATTAAACTTAAAATTTCTAACAAAATTATTTATGTACTTTTCACAATACTAAAAAAGATCATATTATCGACGAAATTTCTACGTTGTAAACGATGAAAATTTCATCACAAAATTATTTTTTCGTAATACTTTTCGTCGAAAAGCGACGAAATTTTTTCTCCGATAAAAATTTTCACAAAAATAAATTTTCTATCAAAATTTTCGACGAAATTTAGTTTTCGTCAAAAGTTTTGACAAAAAATGATTTCCTCCATCAAATGTTTTAAACGAATAAAGAATTCCGTAAAAATTTTGACAGAATGTTTTCCGTTCGAAATTTCGATGGAAATATGTTTTGACAAAAATTTCGACGGAAATTGTTTTGTCAAAAATTTTAAGGGAAATGTTTCATTCGAAACTTTCGACAAAATTTAGATTCTGTAAAGAATTTTGACAGAATTTTTTTCCGTCAAAATTTTTTATCGAAATATTTTTCGTCAAATTTTTTTACGGAAATATTTTCTGTCAAAATTTTTTAACAGAAATGTGTTCTGTTAAATTTTTTGATGAAAATGTGTTTTATCAAAAAACTTGACGGAAATATTTTCCGTCGAAATTTTTTGATAGAATTTTTTTTTGTCAAAAAGTTTAACTAAAATGTTTCTGTCGAAGACTTCCGACAAAATTTAAATTCTATAAGGAATTTTGATGAAATTTTTTTCCGTAAAATTTTTTCGATGGAAATGTGTTTTGTTGAAAATTTTGATGAAAATGTTGTCACAAATTTTGAAGGAAATATTTTTCGTCAAAAATTTTTACGGAAATTTTGATGAAAATGTTTTCCATAAAAAGTTTTGACGTAATTGTTTTACGTTGAAACTTTTCGATGGAAATGTGTTTCGTCAAAACTTTGGACGAAAATATTTTCATTGAAAATTTTGACGGAATTTAGATTCTATCAATAATTTTGACTGAATTTTTTCCTTAAAAAATTTATGTCAGTGATTATGGCAAAATCTGGTTCCGTCTCTAATTTCGTCTTTAGTTTTGACGAAACTTTTTTGACGTATATGATTTTCATCAAAAATTTCATCACTATTTTTTGACGAAATATTTTTCGTCGATAAATTCTGTCGGTATTTGAGATTTTTCTAGTAATGTCAAATTTAAAAATGATTCACATTATGTAGTTTTTACATTTTAATGTTAATGGTAGATAAGTAATTTTTAATATTTTTCCCCTCAAACCCCCCAAATTTGGAGAACTTAAATTTTAAGAAGAATGAGGGTTTTGGAGGGTTTAGTAAAAACCCCCAATTCCTTTCCCTCATTTTTTTTAACTCACAAACAAGGGAAGGGCTTCATAAAACCCTCTCTTCCCTTCACTTCCCCTCCAAAAATCATCTCCCAAACAGAGCCTAAAGTTTTGGGTTGAAGTGGTTCTTTACATGGTATAAGAGCCTCATATTCCGGGTTCGATCCTTACTGGCCCCCACTTTCTCTCATGAAATTTTTTAGCACAGGTAGGTGGGTCTGTGCATTATCCACTCTTCATGTCCAGTGAGCTCTTGTGTGAGGGAGCGTGTTAGAGAAATATATAAACCATTGACGGACCTTCACTTAATTAAGCTTTTGGCTGAGTTGGTTCTTTAAATTATCAATACCAGCTGAGAAATTCAAATACCTATGATGGATGAGATGTGTTTCACTATATCTAATTATGAAGTTTCAATGCTATTACAATAGGATATTTGTCTCCAATCTGAGTCCTGACTTTGTATTTTTCATTTTCAGAGGCAAGCTAGATCTTTGTTGAATTACCTCCCAAGCTGTGCTCTGTAATCCTGTCACCAATATCAGATAGTACCATTTATTCCTTCTCATTTATTCCATCAATCATGCATAGACTCGAGTCATTGCTTGAGCTTTCAACTTAAAAAAGATGCATTTGGATCATTGCATGCAAAATGAGATTCAAACAAAGGTAGGTTACTATTGCAGTGCTGCAAAATCATTTATCATTATAATCTAGATAAGTTTATATATATTTATATATATATATATATATATATATATATATATATATATATATATATATATATATATATATATATATATATTCAGAATAGATAATTATATGTTTTTACGTTGATTGTCATTAATAGCCAAAAAAGATATAGAAAAATCCATGGGGCAGCATGCAATAAAAAATACATTTTTTCTACATTTTTTTTTGGCTAGTAAGGACAATTGACAGAAAGATATAAAACTGTCTGTTATGGGAAAAAAAAATGAAAATATAAACTTGTTTAGATTATAATGACGGGGAAGGTTATATTTACAAACTTTTTGTTTATAAACTCTTACAAACTACACTAAGTATGACCGGTCATACTTAGTGTAATTTGTAAAAAAAAATTGTAAATGAATCATTCCCCTATAATGATAAGTAATTTTGCAGATCGGATTTAGTAGCCTAACTTGGTTGTTTAAGTCTATTCTGCATGCACTAATTTCAAATGCAACTTTTTTAAATTGAAAGCTTCAAGTAATGACTCAAGTCCATGCATGATCGACGAAATAAATGAGAAGTAATAAAGGATACTATATGATATTGGTGACAGGATCGTAGAGCACAATGCATAAGGTAATTTGACAATGATTGTGCTTGCTTCTGTAAAGTTAGGATTTAGATTGGATCACATATTGGTAGAGCTCAAACCTGCAAAAGTTTCATCATAAATTCATAATTAAAAATTGATGGAAAAAATTATACGAATTATAAAGTATATAGATATTTTTTTGTTAGGAAAAAGTTACATCTTAAGTACTGCTTTGTCACCTGATTACACTATCTTTTTAATATCTAATTTGTAGATTCAATTAAAGAACTAGATAAAGATTATATTATCATGCTTCAAATTTATGGTCCTCCGGCTTTGAGAAAAACATTAATCGGAACAAGAAGATAATCATAATTATAATTTTCGCACAAGCCAGAGGACTCACAAGAACAATAGCTAAACATCCTGCAATTTGTGCTGGCTCTCAATGTTTCTCACCAACTTGATTTTCTCTCATCTCTCAAATATTTTTTCCACCATCGTCCTATTTATAGGAAATCAATACAATATCAAATAATAAGAGATATTTGCAACATTAATTAAGTAATTATATAATATCAGTCCTAATATGAAATATAATCTTCTATCATAAATTCATCAATTATGAAATATCAATCCTAATAGAAAAATAATCTCTCAATAATTACAAAATATATTGTCTTAAATGTTCTATCAATGATATAAATATTCTATCAATGAACTTAAATTACTTC